AGGATTCGCAGGAGAGCCTTTTCCACCATCCACACTGGCATCAAAGACACGCTGTCTGTCACTCCGAGGTGGACGTCCAGATGTTGGTTGGGCATCAATGGGCGCAACATTGTGCTCCACGTCAGCAGTGGTGAAGATGCATGGGAGCTGGTCGTGGCCGGGCCGGCAGTGTTCCAGAACGGGCGTGAGACTTTCATTTTCGAGGCCAACCAGGAGGAGTTCGCCATTTGCGGAGTCACGATCGAGTAGGAAGACAACTTGCTGGAAAACATCAGCGCATCGACGATCGCTACCAGAGCGCCGTGGAGTTCTAGGATATCATCGCAATAGCACGTCCAGTTCAGGAGTTCCAAGGTCGACGGTGGAAGTGTCCTAGGCCCTCGTGCCCCTCTATTTCCTCGCGCTCTTCTTTACCTTCAGGCTGCGGGGGTTCGGCTTCCAGCTCCTCCTCTCCTTGCTCCTCTTTGAATCGTCTGATTTTTTCCTGGAGCACTGAGTCGGCTTCTTCCCGTCCGCGCGTTTTGGCTTGGTGTCTTGGAAGTCCAATGCGTTATGTGGGGCTTTTGGAGGTGACCATTTTATTCAAAGGCGTACATTTGCGGGTGCACAATCATCCATTCATAAAAATGACGCGTGCGTGTCCCACAATACCCATGGCTGTTCAGGAATTGGCTGACGCTCCAGAAGGATGCCAAGGTTCACGTGCATTGCGGCTCGTTTTGCGCCACCGCGGGGCCTGGGGGCATCGTCACTCGTGTCTCCCAGAAGGTAGTGAGGCAATTCGCGAAAGTTCGGTTTGAAGTGCGTGTGCATGGTCGTATCCCTGTCGCACTATCCTCGTGCATGGTCTTCCTGGACAGCAGGTCAAAGAGCAGATGGATGTGATTCGTCGATAGATTCTCCCTCCACGCGAGTGGGTGGTGCTACTGCTCGGCGGTGTCAGCGTTCTTGCGCGGCGGAATCCGCCTCCAGGTTCAAGGCGGCTTGGAACGGAGTCGATGCTGCTTGTCTCGCTATTTCCAGGCGCGCCCGTTTTCGGGGCATTGCCGACGTCGCGCAGCCTGGGTGCGCTCTTCGAGCGAAGGCGATCGACGCGATGACCCTGGTTAGGCTAGATCGTATCTAAACAGACTCTCCCGCAAAACCGAGCCTTCAGACCATGCGCCTGTATTCCTGGTTCTTCGTCCCGATCGTGAAAAACCTCAGGGCCCGCTTGTTCCTGCGTGGATTGCCGGCGCAGTAGGTTCGGGGACGTGCTCGGCGAAGTAGCCGGCGATCGAGAACTCCCCCCCCCCTTGCGAAGCTCTCAGATATTGAGGACCTGATGAGGTGCGCAGCCTTGGGTGCCGAGGCTTTCGTTTACTCCTGGGGTGCCGAGTCTCGTTTAGAAGGGGCACCATGCCGTGCAAAGCTAATGGCGTCGAGGATGGGGGATGCGAGTGGAGATAGGCTGACGGCCCGGGCCTGCGACGAGCTCGGCGAGGTCTTTGGCGCCTATGTCGATGCCTGGAAGGGGCGTCGCCATCTTTCGCGCGCGCCTCGGCGAGCTGATGAGGCAGGTGCTCGGAGAATTTGGGCGACGCTGGCAGAGGGGGTCTCCCCCCAACGACAGAAGAGATGCACGTTGCCCGCGTAGGGAGAAGTGGGGGTGGGGGGCCTGGGCGATGGGGAAGCATCGGATCTGCCTCGCTGGAGTTATAGGCCCGCGGGGGCGAGCCCGCGCAGATCCTGCTGGGCGCGCTGCCTGTCATGCCGAGTACTGGCGCGCGATTTTTCCGCGCAGCCGCGCCGCGATGAGGGGCGCGAAACGCCTCGTGCATTCCATATCCGATATTGATATTGGCGACCATCGGTGCACTAGCTCTGCCCGGCAACGGTTCCCCTGGCTAATTCAGTTTCGATTCTTTGTCGTCTTCGCAGTCGATTCTGCCCCCGGCCTGGATGGTCTCCCTTGCTCGATTTGACAATGTGGTGACGAAGTGATTTCTAGGCAGTCTATATCGTTATATCGCTACTGCGAGTATATGATGATGGGTGGTGTGCTGCGAGCGTCCTTGATTCGCTGCTGGCTGTTGCTTTCTAGGGTGACCTCCCTGGCGATGGTCGCGCATTGAAGTCGCCGGGGAATGCCCCCCTCTTGGCGCCCGCTCGTGCAGATCGGAACTTGATGGCCGTCGCTGTCGGGCCCCGTCTGAGGAAGCTTTACCTCCGATTCAAAGAGGCTTCAGTGGTGGCTGAAAGATTCTGAATCATGTCTTGGAATTGGATGATTTCCTGGCGACGCGGGGCGCGCGTGCAGGGGTGTTTGGGGGTTGGCGGGGCCGCGCTCGACCTGCAGGCGTTATCTCCGTTCACTCATGCTTGTTTGCTGGTCAGTGTGCTGGAGGCATATCGGCCTCCCTTGTCTGTCGGGAATGCCGTCCAGAACCTTCATCTGCAGGTGCGCTGTTTCAGTCAGATCGGCGCCGACCTCTTTCCTGTATTCGAGGCAGGGTGTGGGGCGCGTCAAGTCTGATCTCCTAGTGGAAGAGTCTTCGCTTCCGCGATTGATGCTGTTCTTTGAGCTATTGGGCACTTACGACATGGATCTCCCATGGTACCCTCGTCAGTTGCGAGTGATCGTTCCCTGGCTGCGTTTGGTATCATCCATGTTCTTCCTGCCGTGGTTGCACTTGTTCCAGTTTTGAGGTCGCCCTCTGGATTGGGACTTACTTGCGAGGGCCGTAAAACCAGGATGTTCAAGTGCATGGAAGTGGTGGGGGTGAAGATGAGGGCCTCTTTTGAACGGTCTGGGTGCTTCGTGATCTTCGTTCGGCAACGTGGTCGCCGCGATGGGCATTCCCGTCGGGCCTGCTGCGAGGGGTCGCGCGCGGGCGCGAGCGCCCTCGAAGCTCTGGGTTCGGGGAGATGAAGTGAAGGCCTGGGGCTGGAAATGCGCGAAGTGTCGTGGCGCGCGGCCGGCGTTGCTCCCCCGCCCCCCCGCGTCGCTCCATGTCTCTGCGTCGCCGAGCGGGGCCGTAATTGCGCGAGGTGGGCCTGGCAATTCCCCGCATCTGCCCCCCGTTGCAGTTTCCTGCCCCGGGCGCTTCAATGCCCGCGGGGCCCGTGCTTGCCAGTGCGGCGCGCGGCGCGAGGGATTGCATCCCGCGCCGCCCCTCTCCGCGCAGCGCGCGACTCTAACAGCTTCCAAGCGATGGGGAGTTGCCTCGAGAGCAGTCTGGAGACGGACGAATTAAGTGTAGCTTGGGAGTGCCATGCCTATTTCTTGAGGGTTCCTTATTTTCCAAATTGTGCATGCGCATGGGGGAAGTGCTAAGGCGCATTCCTTGTGAAGTGTGTGTGTGTGTGTGCGTGTGTGTGTGTGTGTGTATGTGTGTGGGATCTGAACGGAGGTGCTGAAGATATTAACGAATTGCCTTCGACCCGTCCCGCTCCGCGCCTGGGTGGCGGGGTTGGGGCCTTGGGTGTTCGCGGGGATCTCATGGGGGGCCCCCAGGGGGCCTTCTGGAGGCAGTCAGGGGGCCTCTTGGGGGACGCTTGGGGGCCTCATGGGTGTGCTTTCTGGGCCTATTGGGGGCTTTTTGGGGTCTCTTGAGGGGGGGGATTTTCGGTTTGTGTTCCCTTTCTTGGGCCCCCGCCATGGACCCCTGTCGGGGCCCTCGTTGGTCGCTTGGGGGTGGTCTTGGAGGGCTTGCGGGCGCGCCCGCTCTGTTTCCAGCGGCGCGGTGGCAGACGTTGGGGATGTTATCCTGCTGCGTGTGGTTGAGCTGCTGGGGCGTGCTCCCCGTGCTGATACTGTCCTCGCTGTGCTTCGATTGGAGGTCTCGGGGGGAGAAAGTGCGCCGCCGTTCGCGGTTGTTGCCGCGCTGAAGATTATTGTGAACGCCTGGACTACGACGCGAGGATGCCGCCAGCAGGTCAAAAGTCGCGTCGCGTGTTGCGGCCAGGCACAGGATGATCTGATTCGCTGCGTTTGCTGTCCTGCCATCGTTCCTCTGGTTCGAGCTGTCTTTCCCCATCTTCCGGAGTCCTGGTGATCCGAGGTCGCTCCTGCGATTTTCCGCCCTTTGTGCGTTGCTTGCCCCGCCCCCTCCCTCCTTTGCCGCGACGTTGCTCTAGGTACCATCCGTTCATCTTCCCGAGCTTGTCGCAATTTGGCCGCCCCCCCCCGGGGCCCTGCATTTCCTGCGTTGTCGCGCCCGAGCCTCCGGGAGGGGATAATTAACCATCCGATCTCTTGCGAGGAGATAGGATTATTGATGCCGTTCGGGATCCAGGCGGGCGCGCGCGCGACGGCGGGGCCGCGTTGGGGCCTCGGACTTCGAGGGCGCGGGGGGGCCTGCCGCGGGCGCCGCCGCCGCGGGCTCGGACCTCCCTCGCATCGCGCCGCTGAGCGGCGAGGCGAGGCGCAGGACATCATCTGCCCCGCCCCGTCGAGGGAAACCTCCGTCTTCTTTCCTTGCTCCCATCGGCCAGTCCACGGTCTCGTCGCATCCTCGTCCTGCCAGCCCCACTGGAGGCGCGTCTCCCCGCGTCGAGCTTCGCTCGTCTTTCGGTTGTTTCGACCGTGGCGCGCGGCCCCCGCGTATATACAGACGCGGCGCGCAGCAGTTTGCCACGCACCTGCTGTGGCGAGCTGCTGTGTGCCGTTCTTAAGAGCGCGAGCGTGCTCAGTGAGTGAAGTCGGTGCGAGCACGCACTTAGCCGCGCCCGGCGCGCGCTCCCCTGGTGGTTGCATGGTCTTTCTCGTTTCCGTTGCTCCGCCAACGCTGTTCGATCGCCCGCGCAATCCCGACTCGAATAGGACGCCTCGCTCCTATCTAGGCTCGCAGCTCCGGAGCGTGCGCATCTGATGCGATAAAAAAATTCGGCATCTCTCATGCTATTATCTTACCGCCGTCCAACCCCCGCAGTTCGAGTCTGCCTCCTCCCCTCTTCCTCCGTTTCCTGTTTCCCTTCTTTCCTCGTCGTCGTCGTCGTCGGCGTCTCCCCAATGAGAGGCCGTGGCGGAGCTTCGCCCGCCAGCTTTCACAGCGCAGGTGGCGGGTGCGGAGGCGGATGCGCTCGCCGGCGCCATTCCGAGGCGCGCGGACTGTTCCTACACGTTCTGCTACTGCGAGGAGAACGTTTGGCGGCTGTGCGCGCTCGCATGCATTCGAGACGCGGCCTCCTACGCGGTGTTCGGGGAACAAGCAGTGACATAAACATACAAACTCGGAAGTCCGCGTGGATTCTTTGGATCGTCGATGGGGCCCCTGGCGGTGCTTTTGGCACTGCGCGCCATGGAAGGGGTCCAGCGCCGATCCGAAAAGTCCGCGCGGACCTCCGAGTTTTCATGTTTACGTCCTTGTTTGTTCCCGTAGGTATTCATCTCCAACGAGATGGGTCAGGTGCAGCTGTGGCAGCAACGCGTGGGATCCCCCGATGCAGGGAGGGTCATCTGGGACTACCACGTGATCTGCGTCAGTGACTGCGGGGCCGACGGCGGCGGGGACCATCCACGACGCTACCGGGTCTTCGATCTAGACTCGAGGCTCGAGGTGATTTTGTTGTTGTTGTTGGTATTACTGTTGTTGCTGCTGTTGTTGTTCGGTTTCGTCTTGTCGTTGACGTTGTTGTTGTTGCTGCTGCTGTTGCTGTTGCTGTTGTAGTTGCTGTTTATGTTGTTTTTGTTTTTGTTGTTGTTGTTGTTGTTGTTGTTGCCGTTGTTGTTGTTTTTGTTGTTGTTGTTATGGTTGCTGATGTTTTTGTTTTTGTTGTTGTTGTTGTTGTTGTTGTTTCACTTTTGAAGAATAATCATTGTTGATCCCCCCATCACCGGTGTATATTGTTTGTTCACAATCAAAGTGTGCCCATCGACGCTCGCACCCTGTTTTTTGGCAGGGGAAGTCTTGATGCTCAACCTGCGCCCATGGCCTCCAAGTTACAACAACAACGGCTCCCGCCTGAAACTTCCTCACAATTTAACCAGGACCCCCGCTCCCGCCCGAGAGTTCCTCGCCTTTTATTCAGGTATCGCGCTCTCGCTTGGGACTTCCTGACGATTTATTCAGAAATCGCTCTCCCGGCGCTCTGGAGTCGCGCTCTCGCTGGAGACTTGTTTGCAATTTACTGAAGAATAGCGCCCTTGCGTGGACTTTCTTGTAATTTACTCAAGCGCCGCGCTTCGGACACCCAGGCACCCAGGAGTCGCGCTCACGCTTAGGACTCCCTCACACATTACCTAGGAATCGGGATCTCGCTGCCCTTCGTGGCCCCGTTGCAGCCCTTCGTGGCCCCCTCGCTTTGTTTCGTGGCCCCGTTGTAGCCCTTCGTGCCCCCCTCGCTGCCCTTCGTGGCCCCGTTGCAGCCCCTCGTGGCCCCCTCGCTGCCCTTCGTGGCCCCGTTGCAGCCCTTCGTGGCCCCCTCGCTTTGTTTCGTGGCCCCGTTGCAGCCCTTCGTGCCCCCCTCGCTGCCCTTCGTGGCCCCGTTGCAGCCCCTCGTGGCCCCGTTGCAGCCCTTCGTGGCCCCGCTGTCGCCGTTTGTGGCCCTTTCACTTCCTACGTGGTCCAGTTGCTACCCTCAGCGGCCCCATCGTTGCCTTCTGTGGCCCCGCATTATCTGCCCTTCGTGGCCCCCGCTCGTTCGCGCTCTTCGTGGCCCCATACGCATTCTCTTCTGTAAGTATCGATGACAATATTCCCATACGCAATTTATTCAGCCGCCGCGCCCTCGACATTCAGGAGTCACGCTCTCGCTGTGAATTTCTCCACGATTGATTTGGGAATCGAGCTGTCGCTCGAAACTTCCTCGCGATTCATGCAGGACGCACGCTTTAGCAACCCGCCTGCTCGACCTGGTCGCCTGGGCCCTCCTTTCCGACCCGCCTGGTAGGGCCTATCCGCCCGATTTGCTCGTCTGGTTCTCCCACGTGTTTTCTGTTCTTAGCCCCCCTCCTCCTAGTCTCTCTCGTACTCCATCCTCTTCCCTCCCCTTCGTCCCTTCCTTCCATCCTCTTCCCCTGCTTCAGGGGCTGCACGACGTACACGTTGTAGGTAACAAAGATATGCCCCCAAAGGGGGTATGGTCGGAGACGATGAGGGCGGGTATCGAGGGTTCGGGATGTACGTGATCAATGGCACGCAAGCGGATAAAAACGAACAGTCTTAAAATGATTGCTGCTGTTGTTGTCGTCGTCGTCGTCGTCGTCGTCATTGTTGTTTTTGCGGTTGTTGTTGCTACTGTTGTTGTTGTTGTTGTTGTTGTTGCTGCTATTGCTATTGTTATTGCTATGACTATTATTATTATTCTTGTTGCTGTTGTTATTCTTGTTGTTACAGTGGTTGTTCTTGTTGTTGCTGTTGTTGTTGCTGCTGTTGTTGTTGTTGTCGTTGTCGTCGTCGTCGTTGTTGTTGTTGTTGCTGCTCTTATGGTTGTTGCGCTGTTGTTGTTATTGTTGTTGTCGTGGTGGTTCTTGTTGTTCTTGTTGTTGATGCTGATACCTTTTTCATTGCTGTTGTTGATGCTGTTTATTGAGATGAGGATGGTGACGGAGCGAACATTCTTAACATTATTGTGATTGTTGATGATCATGGTGGTCATGCTGGTGATGATGATGATGATGATGATGATGATGATGATGATGATGCTGCTGCTGCTGCTGCTGCTGCTGCTGCTGCTGCTGATGATGATGATGATGATGATGATGATGATGATGATGATGATGATGATGATGATGATGATGATGATGATGATGAGGAGGAGGAGGAGGAGGAGGAGGAGGAGGAGGCGGATGAGGCTCGAATGGGGCGCCGCCTTCGACCTCTACGCGACGGCGACCTTCAGGCCAGGGGAGAGGCTCGCGCCGAAGCAGCAGCAGCAGCGCTTCAGGGTGGTGCCCGCGAAGCAGTTCCTGCGGCTGTTCGCCTCGGACCTCAGTATCGTCCAACCGATCCCTCTCCCCATCCACATCCCTATCCCCACCATCCCACCACCCCAGCTGGGGACAGGCCCCTCGAAGCCCGAAGGGAACAGTTTCTGGGGGTTAGCCGGCCAGTGGGGCCCAGACCACGCCAGTGGGGATACGGATCGGCGGAACGATGCTCAGGACCGCTCCCACATGCGCCGCGGAGACGGGAGCTGGCTCGAGGAGCCGCCGCCATACGAGCCCATCTCGGCGGCGCGCTCGGGTGGGGGACGCGAGGAGGCGCAGGCCTTCTCCGAGGGTGGCAGGGCTCCTCGGGAGCCGTCCGGCCTCCTGAGAAGGCCTGCTGCGTCTTCGGAGAAGGTCTGGGACAGCTCCGAAGGCACAGGGAGGCCCTTCGAGCGCTCTGAGAGGGCCCGCCCCTTTCTGCTCTCGCCCGGGCTCGCTGCCGACCATCCGCACCGCCAGCTGCTCCCACAACCTGGACAGGTTCAGGGACACGGGCGCGCCCGCAGCGGGCGGCCCCGGGCGCCCTCGCCGTGCCAGGGGCGCCCCGGAGGTGCTCGAGGAAGAAGATGTCGTCGTCGTCTGTCGTCGTCGTCGGCGGCGGCGGCGGTGGCGACGACGACGACGACGAACAAAAGCTGCATAAGCATGAACTTCAGGAGCTCCTCACGGGTTTCCTGCATCGGCGCTGCGGATTTCTCGGACCGACGTCTCCCAGGCGCCCCTCCCCCCCCCTCGAGGAGGAAAACATGACGTAAACACAAGCTTTCGGTGCTCCGCGCTGATTTCTTGGATCGGCGTTGGAGCCCCCCTCGAGGGCCCAGCTCCAACCCGAGAAACCAACGCGGAGCTCCAAAAGCTTATGTTTACCTGTTGTAGGTCTTCCAAGCGGGGTCCGATCAGATGGGGTCGGAGGACTGCGCCGCATCGCCGATGCATCGGCCATGCGGCTCGATGTGGATCCAGGTCTTCTCTCGCCGACGTCGCCGATGCATCGTGGATGCATCTCCGATGCATCGGTGAGGCATCGGCGGTACGGCACGACCCTTCGACCCCATCCACTCGGACTCCGTCTGGGAGGCTCTACTCTTGCCTCGCAGTGGGTGCGCAGGGCCCTGCTCTCGCGCGGAGCTCCGAGGGCTTCTGCTTGCGATGGGGGCGTGGGGTAGTCACCGCCCACCAAACGACCCCGAGCCAACCCGAAGGCCTCAATTTGCCCTCCATTTCGGGTGTGGGGGGGTCGGGGAACAATGACAAAAGCACACATGGAACCCGTACCCCCCCCCAACCCGAAATTGGGATCTTCGGGTTGGGTTGGGGTGGTCTGGTAGGTAGTCAGGTCGGGAATGTGCCCAGGAGGCTTCAGACCCTGGAGGATTCCTTGTCTAGTGAGGGCGGCGGTGATATCCATGGCCAGGCCTCAATTGGAGTTGCACTGGCTTCCAGACCCTGGATTCCCTATCGAACGGTTCCTCATCCAATGCCCTCACCGTTCGTAACCATTTTGGCTCAAGTCCATGGGGCTCCCGACGACCGCGAGTCGTCCGCGGCGTTTCGAGCGCGAGTGGTTCTGCGCCGAGGGCCAAAGTGATTTTCGATGGAGTTTGAGAGCTGGTGGGCGCGCGGCAGCGGCGGGATGATGGCTTCTGCTGGTGGTACTGCTGCTGTTGGCGCTGGCGCACGCAACGAGAAGGGAAACGGCTCGTTCTGGTGGTGCTCGTGTGGGCAGTGGAGCTACTGCATTTGCCCACGGTGCTTCGGCTGTCAGACCAGGCCTTCCGTGGGCGGTCAGGCGCGTGGCCAGTCAGCCGCCCGAGCCTGACGCCGACGGCTTCTTCCAGGCTGGCAGGGGCAAGCGAAACCGCAGCAAGGCAAGGGCAGCCGCAGCCGCGGCCATCAACCCAGCCACATCAGGAGGAGGAGACGGCCGCAAAGCTTCGCCTGCGGCTGCGCGGCCGTCCCGAGTGGGGGAACTCAATTGTGCCATCGAGCCCCCGGAGGCCTTCCCCAGCCTGGGCGGCGGAGACGAGTTCGTGGCGGAGCGGCTGGCCGCCCTGCGAGCACGAAAAGAGTAGGCGGCAGCAGCGCTGGCCGCGGACAAGGAGGCGGGCCTGTCGCCAGCCGCTAGGCTGCGCAAGGATGCCAACGCGGTCGGCCAGGCTGAGCGCGAGGCGGCGGGGGCGAGGGCGGCCCTGGCAGCAGCCACTTCAGGGGTGTCTGAAGCGGAAGCGGCCCTGCAGGCGGCGCATGACAGATTGGAGGAGGCCGAGCGGCGCCAGCGAGATTCGCAGGAACGCCTCACTGTGCTGGAGGAGGCAGAGAAGGCCAATGCGAATCAGGAGCGGCTGCGGGTCTCGGGCGGCGACTTGGAGGTCATGCGCGGGCTCTTCCCGCAGTTGCGCGCGCTCCCGACAGCGCACTCGGCAGGCTACTTCGCCAGGGCCTGGGAGCCCACCATGCAGCAGCTGCGAGCGGTTGAGGAAATGCTCGCCCTGCAGGAGTCAGAAGCCACGGCGCGGCCTCGGAAGAGGTGGGGCGACTACTGTCTGGAGGACGGTGGGGCCATCGATTCTGACGCGGATATCGAACTGGAGCCGTCGCGCAGCTAGCCGCCGAGCGTGGGC